ACAGCTATTTGAAAGGCCTCCTCAGACAGTCATTTTGCTTTTTTGCATTTCTTTTTCTTGGGATGGTCTTGATCTCTATACAATTTCTTGAACCCCCGTCCATAGTTCATCAAACACTCTGTCTATCAGATCTAATCCCTTAAATCTATTTTTCACTTCCACTGTATAATCGTTAGGGATTTGATTTAGGTCATACCTGAATGGTCTAGTCATTTTCCCCATTTTCTTCAATTTAAGTCTGAATTTGGCAATATTCATGATCTGAGCCACTGTCAGTTACTGGTCTTGTTTTTGCTGACTGTATAGAGCTTCTCCATCTTTGGCTGCAAAGAATATAATCAATCTGATTTCAGTGTTGACCATCTGGAGATTTCCATGTGTAGAGTCTTCTCTTGTGTTGTTGGAAGAGGGTGTTTGCTATGACCAGTGAGTTCTCTTGACCAAACTCTGTTAGCCTTTGCCCTGCTTCATTCTGTACTGCAAGGGCAAATTTGCCTGTTACTTCAGGTGTTTCTTGACTTCCTACTTTTGCATTCCAGTCCCCTATATTGAAAAGGACATCTTTTTTGAATCTTAGCATATATAAAAAGTGATAACACTTGCAGAGAACACTTTGCTGTTGTTCAGTCTCTAAGTCGTGTCCAACTCTTTGCGACCCCATGATCTGCAGCACACCAGGCTTCTCTGCCCTTCACTATTTCCTTGAGTTTGTTCAAACTCATGTCTATTAAGTCAATGATACCATCCAACCATCTCATCCTCTGTCGTCCCCTTCTCTTTTTGCCCTCAATCTTTTGCAGTATCGGGGTCTTTTCCAAAAAGTCAACTCTTCACATCAGGTAGCCAAAGTATTGGAGCTTCAGCTTCAGCATCAGTCTTTCCAATGAATATTTAGGGTTAATCTCCTTTAGGATTGATTGATTCTGTTAGGGGAAGCACACTGACTGAAACCACCCACCCTGGCCAGGCACCATAGTAACCATTTGCATGAGTTGTTTTATGACAGGAGGTCCCAGTAAGGAATACAGAACTAATCAGCCATCACCAACTGGAAGAGTTCAGGACAGGTCAAAAGGAGACACCATATGTCCGACCACCTCCCAGAATCCTTCTTTCTGGCATCCATCTTGACTGAACAAGGCCTGCACCACCAGGAAGGACTCTGAGTCAGAATGACTGGCTAAGGACAACCCAGAAACTAATCCCATCACCGTAAAACCCAAGACTGCAAGCCACGTGGCAGAGCAGTTCTCCTGGGTTCCCTTACCCTCCTGCTCTCTACCAGAGTGCCCTTCCCAATAAAATCTCTTGCTTTGTCAGCACATGTGTCTCCTCAGACAGTTCATTTCGAGTGTTAGACAAGAGCCCAGTTTTGGGCCCTGGAAGGGGTCCCCCTTCCTGCAACAGTTTGATCTCCTTGCTGCCCAAGGAACACCTAGGTGAACAGAAAGGCTGTTTTCCATACAGGCAACTAGTCCAGGGACTCTAGTTCCTTCAGGCCCTATGTGAACATTTGAAAGTCATGTGTGAGGGGTAGGGAATCAGTTACTCAACACCCCATTATTTATACCAGTTGGGAAACTCTGCACTAAGGATTATCTAAATTTTATATTCTAAAGAGAAAGATCTGAGGAGGTTACAAGAGCAAAAGATTATAAACTGAAGGCTAAGGGAGTTTGAAGCTATGAAAAATCTAAAAAAGAGACTATCTTCTGCTAGACTTGTAGAGTTATTCAGTCATTTCTCACTCTTTGCATGCCCATGGACTGTAATCTGCCAGGGTCCTCTGTTTATGAAATTCTCCAGGCAAGACTACTGCAGTGGGTGACCATTCCCTTCTGCATGGTTTCTTCTTGACACAGTGATCAACCTGGCTGTCCTGCATTCCAGGCAGATTCTTCACCATCTGAGTCACCAGAGAGTCCCAGAGTTGTAAAAGGAGAATTTAAATTTCTATCACACTCACTTGACACTTGAGAGTTCACTCATTAAAAGAATAAATACCAAGCACTGTGCAAGAAATCAATGATGCTGCATTGAGTTGTTAATTAATAACTGATGTCTCTGAAACAGAGTTATAAACCCCTAGGCTCACCACACAATATAGATCCACTGTTAATTAACATGACCTAAGTCATTGCTAGGGCAAGCAGTTTCCAGCCATTTTTGGTGCTGCCTCCACAGGGAGTACTCACAACCATTCCTGCGTAAAGATCTTCTAGATGAAACAAGGTATGAGAGGAGAGAAAAGATCATAATTCAAAAGAAGTAGACTTAGTAGCTCAGCAGAATGGAGTGTTGCATTTTGCATTTGGGGGCGAGCATAGACTTCATGAAAACCAGAACTCCTGAGGCTATAGAAAGTTGACTCTGAACACTTCAAAAGAAAATGCTTCACTTGGGGAATTATCAATTCTGATGATTCTACACATAATGAAAATGTGAGATATGTGTGAAACTAAGCATCCTCAAGGAATGAAATTCCCACTGCAGAAATATAAGTGGAAAATCTTTGAAATAATAATAATTAACATTTATATGGTATTTAAGATTCTACTATGTCCTCACTTTACAGATCAGGAAATCGAGACACAGGAAAAGTTTCATGCATTGCTTGAGGTCACAAAGAAATTAAGTGGTAGAATTAATGTTCCCACCCAGGAAGGCAGGCATCAAAGTTCACGTTCTAACTACTGCATTGCTTTGCCTCTGGGATAATAAAACTAACATGTATTGAACACTTAGCATGTGTTATTTTATTTAAACTTTAGGACTCTTTGTTACAGAATTTTTTAAGGAAGAAAAAATTAAGATCAGAGAGAATTTACTTTCTTTTCTGTACAGGGTTGAAGCAAGATAGATGGGCCTCAGGCCGGACAGCTGAAGTTTGTTCCCTATGGATAGACACTCAAAATAGCAGTGGATAGGAGAAGATAAGTCCTGCTATGATAAGAGATAAAAGGCCACATATTCCTCATTCTTGAAGTCAAGGAGACCTTCCTTACTATACACAAGCAGAAAATCTCCTTTCAGGTCAAAAAGGGAGAGGGGAACAACTCCATAGTAGGTGATGTCAATCTGCCCATAGACATCTTTGATAGAATCTGTCTTAGCTGGGAGATGCATGTGCACATGGGAGGACCCTGACATAAGCCAAATACAAACTCAGAACCAGGCAAAGCAGGATGACTGGCCAGAGGAAACCTGAAAGACATACCCCATGTGAAGTGACTTAAACTACTGAAAGGGTGAGATTCTCTGACCCCGCCCATGTGTCTATCCACACATATATTTTTCCTTCCTAATAAACACTTTGTTTCACAACTTTTCATCTCTATGTGGAAATTCATTTCTACACAGTTGATGGGCCAGGGCTTTGTCACTGGCTTTGTCTCACTTGTCCCTGGTGGCCTGGTGGCTAAGATTCAGTGCTGTCACTGCCATAGGCCTCAATCTCTGGCAGGAGACTGAAATCCTACTTCAACCATTGCAGCTGGAAGCCACGTGAGATCAGAATGACATAGTCAAAAACAGTAAAACTTGGATTTGGACCATTACTTTCCTCTCTCTGTTCTGGATTTTCAGAACTTACCATCTGAGTCTGGTCCAGATCCTGCTTTCTTTAAGATATGTTGCAATCACAGAATCAAAGCTTGCTAAGCAGGAAGGGATGTAAGCAGTCATTAGCTTCTTACTGACACCTGGCAAAGAGTGCAACTGAGGAAGTCTTGTTAAGTTCACCCAGCCCACTAAAGTGGATCTGGAGTTAAATCCATGTCTCTTGACAGCAAGTGTGGTAATCTTTCTAGTGTCATCATGTAGATAATGAGATGATTCTTTCTTCTTTAAAAGCTTTTATAAAGATTAAGTTAAAAATACATTTGAAAGCAGCTGTCACTGTTCTGGCATAGGACAGACATACCAAAAATAATTGACTTGATTTTTTAGCAGTTACATAAGAATGAAAACTAGACAGAGTATTTAAATCCCACACAGTGACCCAGTCTCTACCAAGATTCTGGTCCTGTCTTTCTCAAAACCCTGACATCTTTTGGCAGGGGCTAGATCTACAGTTCACATATTGCCAAAATACAGAAATTAAACCTAAGCAATAATTTTCAAACTTTGCTGGGCAGAAAGAGTGGTAAGGGAGCTGGGGGAAAAGAGAAGGTAGAGAATGACATCATAGCTACAGGTATCCATGTCTATTTTTTATTTCAGGATGCTTTCTACATTGTACTTGTGTGCTTACAAGACTTTTTGTTTGTCTCTTCGTTGCTTGGCTTTTATTTTATTTATTTATGTATGGAATATGGCTCCAGATCACTCTAAGGCATATTCCACAGTATCAGAAGAGAATTCAGATAACACTCTCATCTCTAACACTTTTGTCTCTCCCCATTAGACAGTAAATTATTATCTAGAGTTACTAACTTCCTACCCAATAAGGTCATTGTCTTCTCCAGTGAGCTACACGCGATCACATGATTTCCCCAGATAACTGGGTTCTTGATAAGTTTTCTGCCTATGGCTCATGGCTTCACATTTGAAACTTACACAGGTTATACTTTTTGGCCAGCCTTGTTTTCCACCTTTTCTGGGAATTTTATTCTGGGAATATTCTGGGAATCTTATCTCGACAAAAGTGCCAACTCTCAGCTTTAGTTTGCTTTGTTTCTCTCAGTATCTTACTCTCTCCCTGAGCCCTAAATTCAAAAACATTTGCATGTCCTCTGGTTTATTTCTCTTCCTTTGTGACCTATCTCTCCCATTTGTCTGAAATGGAACCAAAGACATACATCCTTTCTCTATATATGTTCCAATTCTGATTAATCCAGGCTTATGTCTTCTTCAGTGAATGTCTGCAATGGACATGATAAATGATAAGACTGATTTTATTTCCCTGGCATTTACTTTAACTCTGGAAAGATGATTGACTAACCAACCAGGTGATTCATTTCTACAGTTACCAAGAAACCTCAAAATGATAAAAGAGATTGTCAAGCTTCCTTCAACATGGTCCGTATCCTGACCCTGACCCTTTTCATAGCCTCCTTCACCTCCTTGTTTCGAAGCGTATAGATGATAGGATTGAGAAAGGGAGTAAGAAGGGCATACACTAAGGCAATACGCTTGTCTGTGCCCTCAGGGCGACCCCCAGGTGAGCCCACATAAACTGTGAAGGCAGAAGCATAAAAAAGCACCACAACAGTTATGTGGGAGGAGCAGGTGGAAAAGGCCTTGGCTCGGCTGGCAGCTGAGGGCAGCTTCAGCACAGCTCTCAGGATACCCCCATACAGTCCTAAAATGAGCACAAGATTGCACCCTGTGGCCACACCAATCACTGCCCCATGGACCCCATTATGCCACCTTGTGTCCACACACACCAACCTCATTAGTGGTGCCAGGTCACAGAAGTAATGAGCCACCTCTTTTAAACAGAAGGGCAGAGTGGCTGTGAGGCTTGCTGGTACAAGTGCAGCTGAGAAGCCAGCCACCCAAGTGGCCCCTGCCAGCCATAACTGTACCCGTCTGCTCATGAGAGCATGGTAGTGGAGGGGGCGACAGATGGCAAGGTAGCGGTCCAGTGCCATGACGCCCAACAGGTAGCACTCAGTCATGCCCAGTGAATGGAAGACGTAGAGCTGGACAAGGCACACAGTGGGTGAGATGGGTGAACGCCCGTGAAGCAAGGTGTGCAGCAGCGTGGGCACTGTGGTGCTGACATACCAGAGTTCCAAGAAGGAGAGGACGCTGATGAAGAAGTACATGGGTGTGCACAGTCTCGAGTCTGCCTGAACCAGGACAATGATGAACAAGTTCCCTGCCAGGGTGAGGAGATAGATACACAGTGTCCCCAGGAAAGCAAGAGGTCGCAGGGCCCCAGTGGTAGTGAAACCAGCAAGGAGAAAAACCTGGGTCCATGTGTGATTGACAAGGTCCATGTTTCCTAAGAGCAAAGAGTAAAGACAGAAGATTAATAAACATCAAGATTTTCCTCTGTTCAGAAAATATCCCTAGTGTCAAGAATACTGAATTTGAGCACCTTAAAGGAACTTGATATTATCTAAACAATACTCCTCACTTTGCAATAGAAGAAGTGCAGTCCTAAAGGCACACATAGTGGGATTCAGCAGAAGCTGTTGTTTTCCAGAACTGGAACTAGAAATCAAGGCTCCTTATGCCAGTTCTACTCTTTTCTCCGCCATAATAGTGTGCTCTTATGACTCCAGAAACTGAATTTCTTTCCTGCTCCCTCATCAGAGAGCAGGAGACACATAACTACTGGTTGAAAATAGTGAAACCAAAGGATGGTAGAGAGAGCAGAGAAAATAGACAGCAGTCTTCAAACTTAAACTGTCATTTACTGAGATCTGCCGACAGTAAGGAGTAATAGAGAAGCACACATGCATACAATAGAGCTCCAATTCTCTTAGTACCTTAAGGTTACAAAGTTCAAGAAATATATGTTTATGTAAGGTAAGTAGACATTTATGTAAATCTAAAAATGAATATATATATATATATAATGACTCTGCTGTACAGCACATTCTTTGTATGATGAAACTAATACAATATTATAAATCAACTATACTTCAACTTTAAGTGTGAGTATGTGTATAAAGGAAAATAAGAGAGAGAAGAAAACCTTTACCTCCATCTTTCCTATAGTTTCTAATGATTAAAAAACAGCCATATAGGGCTATGGAGAAGAGAGAAAAATCATCCTCTAAAAGTGACTGTTGAGCCCTCTTTCAGAAATACACTCTGGAGTTTATAGATATTTTTCTAAGGAGTAGAAAAAAAAAAAAAAAAAAAGGATGGGAAGTAAAAGAAATGCAAAATTTCTGAGAACTGTTCCCAAAATCTCAGGTCCATAGTGCGTGATAATAACTCACTTTGAAAGATGATCCACAAAGAAGAAATGTTCCAGGAATATTCAAAGAGGAAAACTATGAAGACAGAACAACCAACAACAAGTCCTATTATATTTTTAAAAGAAAAGGGCTTCCACTAAGTTAGGGATTCTGCTTTGAGAACTTGCTTTGTTGCTAACAGGCGAACACTTTGGGCTAAGCAACTTCTTTTTCTCTAACATGCAAAAGTTTGAACTGATGTTTCCTAAAACTCTTACAGCACAGATAATTTATCATTCCCAAAAACCACTGAAAATGTTTCTGGACTGTGGGAAACATCAGCACCATGTTTCCTAGCATTTTTTTTTCTCATCCCCTAATCCTCTTCTTCAGATCCACACATCTCTGATACACCATCCCAAATTACTATCTGTCTGGATGAAATTAGGACTTGTAGCATCTTACTCATCATCCTTTTACCCCAAGACACTTCCGTACTTATATCTCATGTTCCTGGAAATGCTGGGTTCCCAGGAGATGCATAATATGTGTTCATTGCTGTTGTTGGGTATGATGAGCTCTCAATAGAGGTTCCTCTGGGGGAAGGATGTTAGGCACAGAAAAGTGATCCAGAGTAGCACTATTTCTCAAATGATTTTTCTCAACCTTGCAACCCTGACTGTTGAACTCCGGGATCAAGTCTCAGGGAAATTGCCTTTTCTAGACCACTTTGAAAACTTTGCAAAAATTCCATATAGCTTTCTATGGAAAGAGACAACTCTTCTTGCATTATTTCATGCACACATACAGAATAACACACTGAGTCCCCAGAAGTGAGTTTCATCTTCTGAAAAATTGCATTGCAAGGAGATTTCTCAGTTTCATTTCCATGCAACTCCAATAATAAGAGCTAAGTGATCTAAGAAGAGTAAATCATCAAGTTGCTTACTACTAACCTTACCACAATTTTCCCTTGTAGCTCAATTGGTAAAGAATTTGCCTGCAATGCAGGAGACGTGGGTTTGATCCCTGTGTCAGGAAGATTCCCTGAAGGAAATGGCAACCCACTCCAGTATTCTTGCCTGGAGAAGCCCAAGGACAAAGGAGCCTGGCAGGATGCAGTCCATGGGGTCACAAGAGTCAGACACTACTTAGTGGCTAAACCACCAACTTTACCACAGCCTTCTCTTTTGGCTCAGTGATAAAGAATCTGCCTGAAGTTGAAGAGATGCAAGTTCAATCCCTGGGTCAGGAAAATCCCCTAGAGTGGGAAATCAATGTATCTGTTGATTCAATTACTACTGAATATTTACTATGTACCAAACACCATTCTAAACCACCAAAACCATCAGCATTGCAGTCATCATTTATACCACCCTTATAATTACATGGAACATCTACATACTGTTTTTTCCAACAGTCTTGTATAGATGTGAGAGTTGGACCATAAAGAAAGCTGAGCACCAAAGAATTGATGCTTTTGAATTGTGGTATTAGAGAAGACTCTTGAGGGTCCCTTGGACTGCAAGGAGATCAAACCAGTCAATCCTAAAAGAAATCAGTCCTGAATATACATTGGAAGGACTGATGCTGAAGCTGAAGCTCCAGTACTTTGGCCACCTGATGCAAAGAGCTGACTCATTAGAAAAGACCCTGATGCTGGGAAAGACTGAAGTCAGGCGGAGAAGGGGACGACAGAGGATGAGATGGTTGAATGGCACCACTGACTCAATGGATGTGAGTTTGAGCAAGCTCTGGGGATTGTATAGGGAAGCCTGGCATGCTGCAGTCCATGGGGTCGCCAAGAGTCGGACATGGCTGAATGACTGAACTGAACTGAACATAATGCTTATTCAGTTTTCCATAATCATGTCATTTTTTATTACTGTCAGCATTATCTTCATAAAAGCCCTGCAGTCAGTTCATTCAAATTCTGACCTTGATTGGGCATTATACATAGGCCTGGACTGTTTGGATATAAAAATCATATAGTTAACAGATTGAAAGAATTAATCCACTGGAGAATAGTAGATTTGCATCATAGATCAGTGTAAATGTGGTTTCACATTTACAATCAGAGGCAGAGGACAAGATAACAGCAAAATTAAATTGGCTATCAGAACATTAACCAGGAAAGGTTTGCAGATAAACCACATAAACTTGAGAGAATTCATTCCTCAACTCTTCGAATCAGCCAGGAAAATCTTCCTGTGAGACCTGGAGTTGTTTTAATGACATTAAAGTGTGACATTTGATTTTGAGTGTTTTGCTTTAGAAAATAATGTAACCTCAAGATTGGAAGAATTAATCCTTGAGTAAAATTTTTTCTGATGCTTGGGCGTGTAGAGGATCTCATTCAGCCTTTTCCAGCCTTCTGTAGCAATCCCACTTCAAGTAAAACAACTGACATTTCTCCAGGATAAATGGTTACAGCTATCTTTTGATGAAATTGCTGCATCCTTCACATTCCCAAATGTGACTTTATTTTTTTGGGCTCCAAAATCACAGAAGATGGTAATTGCAGCCATGAAATTAAAAGACACTTACTCCTTGGAATGAAAGTTATGACCAACCTAGATAGCATATTAAAAAGCAGAGACATTACTTTGCCAACAAAGGTCTGTCTAGTCAAGGCTATGGTTTTTCCGGTGGTCATGTACTCCTAATTTGTAGCTTCGATTATGGATCTATAAGACAGATTCTGGGACAGACTTCCCCCATGTTTTGGAGTACTCAGTTGTATACCATCATGGCTTGCACCAAAAGGCTGTTTGTTTGCCTTCAGAAAACAATCGCTGTGATGCAAATACTTGTTTGTAAGAAGTTCAAACACAAACCCATATCAATACAAAATACATATGCAAAATATTTAGCATTGTAGATAAATGAGTGAAATACTTTTCTTAAAAGTAGCACAAAGAGGGAAAATAGAAGTTGGAGCATTCCAAGTTTAGGAAATTGTTTATTTTTCTCTTATGTCATCCCCCACCAGCAAAACTTGCTCTCTTAGCTAATACATATCCTGTATTAGAAATGGAGCAAAAGAAAAGAACAAGGTGTGATACCTCTGTCAAGAGATCCGTGGTTTAGCAAAGGAGACAATGAAGAATATCTGTTTGAGTGTTAAGTGAAGAAAACAGTATTTCAAGTTTCAACATTGCACAATGATTATTAATATTTGAAAAAAGCCTGTGTTACAAGAAATTATTAGAAAGGAATAGGTAAAAATTGTTTTAAAAATAATTTTATAAGTAATTCAAATTTTATTTATCTATATATTCTATATTATGCATATATTTCTATGAAATATTATTTTCCAAGAAAAAAATGTGATCCAAAGTTTAGAAAAAAGTGTTAACACAAAGCAACAATAGTGTATGGAGGGGGGGAAATCAGTGATTCTGTTATTCATGTAATATATTTAGCAAATGCTTCCTATTTCCCATACCTCTTACTGAGCAAAGTATGAAATGAATAAAGCATAATCTCTTTCCTCAAGATGCTTAATTTGGAGTGTGGGTAATCCATCCCCAAATAGGCATTTATAAAAGAATATGGGCACTTAAATACATGAAAAGATATTCATCTTAACTCATAATGGCACATGCAACTTTAAACTACATTGATATACTTTTATCACCTTCAGGCTGATGAAAATCCATGTTTTAAGCACACTTTATTGGACCAACTGCAGGAAAATAGACATTTCATACATTGCTCATAAAAGAACAAAATAGTGAAATAAATTTGGAGAAAAATTGATCAATCTTTATGCAAACTACATAGTCATTTGTGCCTAGCAATACCACTTCTAGGAATTCATCTTGCATATATAAATATGAAATGATATACACACAAGGTTTTTTTTTGTAGTTCTGATTGTAATAGCAAGACTGGAACCCATGAGCCCTTCAGCACTGGACTGTTTAAATTAAGCACACAATGAACTATTTATCAAACTGAGAAAGGACTTTCTACAGTGATCGGAAATGGTCTCCAGGGGACTTATGATAGTACTCATATTTACTTGTTTTTATGTAAGGAAACACTGCACAGTTTTAGGAAACACAGATGAAAGTTATTTTCTT